TTATATAAAAATTGTTATAAAAGACTAAATGACTCACAGAAATGTACGCTTAACTTTGTGTGTCTATCACTGTATATAAATTATACTTCAATATAGTTGATCTTTCAAAAAAACAAATGAGTAAGTACAATAAGAAAATATTAGATAACTGGGGGGTGCAGGGTAGAGGGGGAATAAAGCGGGAAAAATTGTGAAAACTGTAACAGCATAATCAATAAAATATACTTAAAATGTTTTAATTAAAAAAGAAAATACTAGATTAAAAAACTTCATTTCTTAAAGATATCGTCTTCCTTCAGAAGGGATTCCATTCAGAAAAAAAATGAGGAAAACTTCAGGGAGAGATGAAATGTATTTATTCATTTATTTATAAATATTTATTTTAGTTTTCTCGTTTTATTTTAGGTAGCCTTTGAATTGCAGATTTTGCTAGGGTTTTGGATTCAATGGTCTGCTATCTCTTTTTTTTTTTTTTAAATTATTTATAATTTTTTGGAGTTCTCCGCCGGGGAAACATGGCGGAAGTAAGGACTGCAGGATAAGAATAAGGTGAATCTGAGGCAAATCCCATGGAAAGGACTTTGTTTGATAGAAGACCCTGGAAACCTCATGAGTAAAGAAGTGACAAGAACTGGGCTTCAAGATTAATTTAGGCAAAAAAGCATAAGATAACCTGGATAAAGGTGACACTGAAAGCAAGATCATATCAGTTCAGGTGAGATGAGAACCTGATTCAGCTAGAAATGAATAGATACAGATAGAAAAGGGAAATTATCAAATATATGAACATATACATAATATATAATACTGTATACAAATGTCAAATCAAAAAATTTAAAGAAGAAAACCAAATAACACTAGATTTAAAAACTAGGTAAGTAAACACTAATATTCACAAAAGAAATAGAAAATCAACACAGAACAGCTACTAAGCAAATCAAAATGGAACCCAAAGTTGTCTTCAGAAAAAAAGAAATTGAAGCCTGAATGTTCTGACAAGTGAGGGATGATGCCAAACTCTCCAGTAAAAAAAGACAACCCCAGTCTAAATTGCTCCTGAAAAGAGAAAAGGAAAAACCATCCAACTTGTTTCATAAGTCTACTAGAACCCTGAAACCAACATGTATTAAGAACTGTACCAGTCCTGGCTTGGTGGCTCCACTGGTTGAAGCATCATCCATATACCAAAAGGTTCACACGTCTGGGCACATATTGGGGGCAACCAATTGCTATTTCTCTCACATCAATGTTTCTCTCTCTCTCCCCTTCCTCCCTCTCTCCTGCCCTCTCGAAAATCAAGAAATATATCCTCGAGTGGGAACTTAAAAAAAAAACAACTGTACCATAGTTAGAAGGTAAAGAGAAAAGTGACAATACCATTAAAGGAGAACCCATAGATGTTGGCTACAGATAAGACATGATGGAATAGGAAAGGGCTGGGTTTGGAATGACATCAACAGAAATAAGAAACACCAGGGAAACAAGTTTGGTAAGGAAGAGGAGTTCAGTTTGAACCAGAACAACCAGATGAAGATATGCATAAAACAGTTGGATATATAGGGATTCAAGCGTAGAAGAGAAATAAAGAACAGAAATTTGACAATTATTCAGGCAGAAGGGTCTACACAATAATGTCAAAGAACTAGAGAAATACACAAGTGATCTGAAAGGTGAAACTTGAAGAATACATATTAATCAGGAAAAAGGAAAAACAGAAAGCAGAAAAGGGGCAATAGGAAACAAAGTACTCCTGGCTGGTGTAGCTCAGTGGCTTGGGCGAGGGAACCAGAGGATCGGGGTTCAATTCCCAGCCAGGGCACATGCCTTGGTTGCAGGCCAGTTCCCAGCAGGGGACACATGAGAGGCAACCATACATTGATGTTTCTCTCCCTCTCTCCTTCCCTATAAAGATAAATAAATAAATAATCTTTAAAATGTTGTGAAATTAAAAAAGAAAAAGAAACAAAGTACTATGTCAAAAAAAGCCCTCCTATCATCTAGTTAATTCTTACTCATCCTTTAGAGCTGTCTGGGCTTCAAAGTAACATTTCTTAAGGAGGCTTTCTCAAATTCTCCCAGCACAGCCAGCACCAGATCAGGTTCTCCAAAATTTTAAACTCTTATGATACTCTGCACCTTAATTACAATCATATCATATTTAATTATAGAAGTCATTCATTTTTTTTATTTATTGATTGGAGAGAGGAACAGGGGAGAGAGAAACATTGATTGCTTGTTCCACTTATTTATGCATTCATTGGTTGATTCTTGTATGCCCTGACAGGGATCAAACTGCCATCTTGGTGTATGGGGACAATACTTTCGTCAACTGAGCTATGGGCCAGGGCTTAGAATTCATTTTTCAATAGTTTCCCCCACCAGACTAAGCTCTGTAAAGGTAAGGGCCATACCTGTTATTGCAGCCTATTATCTTGCATGGTGTGTTAGGATATATAGTATTTGTTGAATGAAATAGATGAACAAAAGCCAAGAAAAGGGATTTCAAAATGCTACAGAAAACTCAAGGATCTGACTAAGAAAAGGGTCTTAAATGTGTTGATTAGGTTATAGTTGACCTTTGTGAAGGTGAAATTCAGATAACAATGAGTTAAGAAGTTCGCCCTGGCTGGTGTAGCTCAGTGGATTGAGCACAGCCTGCAAACCACACGATAGCGGTTCAATTCCCAGTCAGGGCACATGCCTCGGTTGCAGACCAGTTCCCAGCAGGGCATGCACGAGAGGCAACCATACATTGATGTTTCTCTCCCTCTCTCCTTCCCCCCTTTCCCTCTAAAGATAAATAAATAAAATCTTAAAAAAAAAAAAGAAAGAAGTGAAGAGATGGCCAGGAAGTAAAGATAGGAAAAGTAGACTACACTTGGCAATCTCTACAGATAAGACTATGAAGGAATGAATTGAATTTTATTTTAATTTTTTTCTGTTATAATTATTCTTTAATAAACATGTATTACTTTTTATAAGGGCAAAATTTTTAATATTCACATATTTGAAGAGAAAAAGCAGTAACGAGACAGCTTAAGGGAGTGATGGACTCAAAAGAAGGTTTTTGAAAATTGTGGTAATCTTTTAATGTTTTTTAATTTTCTAATAACTGACATTTGATGTTACATTACAGTTTCAGATGTATAGCACAGTGGTCAGATGCTTAAATAACTTAAGAAGTAATCCCCGGATAATTCTACTATCCACATGACACCACTATTATTATATTTGTCACTGACTATATTTCCTATGCTATATTCTACATCACTGTTACTAGTTTGTAACTGCCAATTTATACTTAATTGTAAATTATGGGAATCTTAGCGCATCTGTCCTTTTAAGAACCCTAAGATAAAAGACAGGACAACTCATACTCCATGAAGTAGGAAAGAAAAGAAAAATAAAACAAGGTGTTAACAGAAAGAACTTTAAAAAAATATTCTTCCACTGAGATGGAAGGAAAGAAGATGAAAGAAGGAATCCAATCAGTTCTGAAAGGAGTTCCCACTGGATGCCTCAAACTTTTCAGTAAAGGGTTTGGAGAAGTGAATAAAGTAGAAAAGGTTTGAAATGAGCTTCACAGAGAATGTGCAAGGGGGAAAAAAACAGGAATAGAGTACTGGTTCTATTAAAAGGGTTCTAAATTTCAATCAGCCTTTTGGAAACTCAACCTATTTCTACCTCAGAACTGCCTGTAGTTTAGCTTTAAGTTTAAATATTTAAATCTGTCCACAAACTTTTTATTTTAGAAACTGAAAACAGTGATAGGCATTAAGTTACATTCTATTGTTACTTATCAGAATTGAACTCCTCTTACAAGTAAATAAAAAAAGAATTCTCAACTCAAGGAATAAAATAGCGATCATTTTAACTATAACTGAAAAGTGCTCCTAAATGTAAGTGTTTGCAGAAAGAGGTTTTTTGTTGTTTTTAACTCATCCTGTCCCTCACTTTAACAGCTCGTGAATAGTAGTAAAGAAAATCCTGGATTCAAATCGCAGCTCACTTAAACAAGTTATTTAACTTCTTTACGTCTCGGTTTTCTTGAGTAAAAAATGAGGAATACAATAACCAGTGTTGTCTTACGGACTAAATGACATAACAAAGGTGAATGTGCCGAGTTCGTACTATATACTCAGAACAGTTTGCTGACCGTTTAAAAGAGAAAACCTGCAACACTCTGATCAAATTAAAACATCCAAGAACCAAGTCACAAAACGCAAGACCCTAACACATTCTTTTTCTTTCCTGTCGCAAGCTATCTTTTTTCCTTGCCAATCCTTCCCACTACGAGTCTGGAAAAAGAAAAAAAGCGTTACATTCGATCCAGCAGAAAGTTTTCTGAAACCAAAGTGCAGAATCACAACAGACATGGCAGCAGAGGCAGTGCGGGACAACAGGTGAACCTCCGAGAACCCTGGCACCTTCCCGAGGACAAGTAGTTTTGAGGGAGGGCTTGCAACTCCTTCTGGCGCTACCACCCCACGAAACAGACATATCCCCCCCCCTTTTTTTGGCAAAAGTCTACAGAAACAAGCCGCGAATATCTATCTACCTCGCAGCTTCTGGACGAAGGTGAGCGCTTTCCCATTTGAGGATTCAAGAAGCGTCCTTTGAAGCCCGCTTTCGCCCCACACCGCCTCCCCAAACTCCGCCTGAAACCCGGGAAACAAAAGAGGAGCCGGGCGGCCGCCCAGGCCCAACGCTGGGCATCCAAGGGGCCGGGGTCGGCGACCGGCTCCGGCTCGGGGCCGAGGTCCGCGACGACCGCGGATCGGGCACAGAGTGAGGATTAGGGACGGCAGGGCCCAGTAACCCCCGGCCTGATACAGCCGAGAGACGGCGGGGACTCCGTGGGTCCACCAGGCCGGGGCACCCCCCTCTCGGGCCTCCCACACGCGCCCAGCTGCCTCCAAAACTTCGCCGGGAGTCCGCACCCACCTCCCAGTCGCTGTCGGCCTCTCCCGCACTCGCACTCTCCAGACGAATCAACTCACCCAGACTCCGGGGAACTCATCCTCCAGCCCTCAGCGCGAAGCGGGGAGGGCGCGGCGAGCCGCCAGGACGCGACCGGGGCCCGTCCCGGCCTCTGCCCTTGGCGTACAGCGGCTCTGGCCCGGCTGTCCCTGGAGTGGCCGTGAGATCGTCGTCTCAGACGAGGACAGACGCGCCGGAGCCCCAGCCGTCCTCCTCCCTTTTCCCTCCCCCCTGGTCCTTCGCCGAGCTCCAACAGGCGGATTCCAATCTCAGCAGCAGCCGCGGCGGCCAACACTTGCACCGTGGGGTGGGGGTTGGGGGTTAGTGGGGGCTGCCCGGGCACAGGGCTGGGGGGAGGGGCGGGCCTCCACGAGACTCGGCGCTGCGCGCGCGCACTAGGAGAACGCCAGACCCGCCCCGCCTCGCCCCGGACGCGAAGGGAGCCGAGCGTGCGGCGGAAGCGCCCGAAGGGTCCTCGGGGCCCTGGCGCCCCGTTGCCGGGGAGGAGGCCCAGCCGCCGGCAAGGGGGCGCCGGGCTGCTGTTGGGAGAAGGAGGGGCTTTCCTTTCACGCGGCCCCGCGGGCCTGACTTCACCAAGCAACAGCACTGGATCCGTGGTGGACGGCTGGTCTCCGGTAGCCGGGTCGAGCAGATGCCCCTTGAGCCTTCTTTTCTGGCGGGTCCTTCACAATAACATCTCCAACAAATACTCCCAACAAACTAATACTCCCCGGGAGCACCAGTAGGTTCGCTGGTGCAGTAAGCCTGATTCCACACACTTCGGCATGGAGGCCAAGAAAAGAGAAATGTAGGCACACTATTCATTATTCTCACCGCTCCCCGGCTTTTCTTTCTGGTTTGGTCTCTTTACCAAGGTGCAGAGGCACAGGTAAGATCCACTTCAACTGAGCTGCAGCGCCCAAAAGCATTTAGGCATAGGGCTCGGAGTTCCGAGGCCCGGGCTGCCGGGGGCCTTATGATCTGTGAGCCGTGAATTCCAAAGGCATAAGACGAGTGGCGTTACTCAGTTCTCTATAAATATTGCTCTCTTCTCCAGCTTTGGCTCACTCTAGTGACCTCGTGTACCCTCCGAAGTTTCATTGGCCCATTTAGAAAATATAAATAATTGTCCCTATTTCTTTTCTTCCATTTCCCTTCATTCTTTGTGGAAAATGCTGTTAAAATTATTCGATGCCGTGTAAATGAAGAAAGAGTATAGGCCCCTTTTTAAGAACAGATATGGCCTTAAACTTATAAATATTTTAACGAATGTATCACGTTAAGCCTCTTTAGAAAAGATACTTTTTGTTAAAGGACCCTGTGTGTTGTAAAATGGGTGAAAAGAAAGAAGGCAGGAAAAGAACGTATCAAGCACTAATACTTGTTTTTATACACGTTATTCCTAAAAAAAAAAAAAAAAAGTTTAGATTCCAGAATAGTCCCTTATATTCTTGTTTAAATGCCTGAGTTTCCTTACATTTGTTGAAAGAGTTTTTAAACCATCTTTTATTCTGTCTCTCATCTCTCACCCACCTTTGCCTTTAATAACTCAGATACCCTCCATAATTACAAATTCTATTTACTCTAAATTTTTTTTGAACCATAGCTATCTCGGGTTTGATAGTCGTGAGTTACAGTATCTTACTCAGTGGGAAGAATGTATGATACAGTGAGTTTCTTTACATCAACTAAAATTTGTCACTTCAAATTTTCTACATCACTTTAATTTTAGGGAAAAGCCTGGACCTTGTGCTCAAGGAAATTCAGCTGGGTTGACCAAAAACTCCTTGATCTATGATGAGCAATGTGTCATGACAGATAAAACTAAGACAGGTGTGTTAATATACTCGGTATAGCCTAATTCGATTTTCAAACACATGAATCAGTCTATAAAATAGGCAAGAATTTCAGATTGGAACTTTAGTTTTTACTCTATGAAATTACCTTGTTCATTTTGTTATTTTTTTATAGTATCATCTGAGTTTCTCTGCCCCTCTAGAATGTAAATTCCATGAGAGCGAAACCTTGCCGATCTTGTTCTCAACTGTTTCCTCAAAGTCTAGTTCCTGGCACATAACAAGTGCTCAATATTTGTTCATTAATGAGAGTGATAAGGATAAAATTTCCTCTAAGCATTTCTGAAACTTGTCATCAAGACCCAGTTTTAGAGGGTGGCATGAACTATGTTAAAAAGGATGAGGGTGGATCAAAGAAGGTATGGATTACGCATTCTTCACTGAAAGGAGGACTTCTGCTTTCAGGGAAGGCAGTAATTCAATAGATTAAACCAAGTTAATCCAAAGTCATTTTTCTCAAAGACTTTGTGAGGCAAAGGTGAGTATGGAGATAAGTTAGAACCCAGTGACAGGGTGATGCTTGAGTTTGGTTTCATGCCTAGTATTAAATGGACAAAAGTATTGTGAAGGATAGAGAAACAGGTACATTTTTTCAGCATGGACACTATTAGGTCATTTTATTGGTTAACAATATCCAGTCATGGTTTAGAAGGACCAAGCAAAAACGGAAATTATGTTTAAGAAAAAGATGATTGTGTACAAATACAATTTGGTGCACCAAGTAGAGAAAAGTTTAAAAATCTGAATTTGATCTTATCTTCATAATGGTGTATTTTACTTTCCCTTTTATTTTTAATTCTAAATAACTGGCAGCTTTTCCCATTTCCATTTTCATTTCTCTTTGCTTCAAAGCACTTGTTCACTTTGATTCAAAGATAGTTTACTGAGGCTCTTGCTGCAAAGTAGACACCACTTGATCCTACCTAGTCTATGGTATCTATAACCCTCTTCTTACTCTTAGTAAACCGTTTATTATAAAACCCAATCCTTTCCTGTCCTCTGGCAAGAAGAATCCTCAAAGCTCCTGGCTGCCTTTTCAACTCACTTGGTGAGCCCTAATCCTCTCTAAGAAGTGACTTACAGGTACAAGGAGTATGGAAAACAGTACGGAATTTTCTCAGAAAACTAAAAATGGACCTACCTTTTGACCCAGCAATTCCACTGCTAGGACTATATCCTAAGAACCCTGAAACACAAACCCAAAAGACCCTGTGTACCCCAATGTTGATAGCAGCACAATTTACAATAGCCAAGTGCTAGAAGCAACCTATGTGCCCATCAGTAAATGAATGGATCAAAAAACTATGGTACATTTACACAATGGAATACTATGCAGCAGAAAGAAAGAAGGAGCTCCTGCCCTTTGCGACAGCATGGATGGAACTGGAGGGCATTGTGCTGAGCTGTGTAGGTAAGGGACTGGTGCCAAGTGATCTCACCTTTGACAGGCATCTAATCAACAAAACAAACAAACAATTTGGCCAGGATATGGCCAAAGACACTGAAATTGGGAGGAGGCTAGCAGTGACCAGAAGGGAGAGGGGAGGGAATTTCAGGGGATGGGGGGAGAGGTTTGAAGGAACTAGTATGGGGAACACATGGGCAATAACAAGGGGTGGGGGTGGGCTAGGATTGGGGTAAAGGGCAGAAAACTGTACTTGAACAACAAAATTAAAAACAAATAATTCACATCAACAGTAGCAAATTTTTTTTACATCTGTTCTTCTAATTGATTTTATATGTATTATTTTGTTTCAATAATAAAGCATGGTAGGTTCTACTATTAATCTCATTTTATTGATAAGGAAACTGAAGTACAAAAGCTTAAGTCATTTGTGTTTTGAGGTTTTTAACCTGAGATCTAGTTCAATGGGTAGAATTCAGGGTATCTGAAAATTTGGATGTGGAAAAAGTAGGGATTAATTTCCAGTAACCTGAAACTGAATTTTAGCATTTTATCCAACTGTGAATATATGCAGAACAACACAGTAACAGTAACAGAGTCTGTTTCTGCTCCAATGATAAAATTTAGCTAAAGTTTTATGTCACTTTTCAGTTGTAGATTTTTCCTTTTTTTGATTTAAATTATTTTATTGTTCAATTTCAGTTGTCTGTATTTTCTCCTCACCCCTACCCTCCCCACCCTCTCCAAACCCACCTCTCTCCCTTGCATCCACCCTCCCCCTTGGTTTTGTCCATGTGTCCTTTATGGTAGTTCCTGAAAACCCTTCTCCCCACTAACCCCTCCCCATTCCTCTCTGGCTATTGTTAGATTGTTCTTAATTTCAATGACTGGTTATATTTTGTTTGTTTTTTCTTTTGTTGGTTGTGTTCCAGTTGAAGGTGAGATCATATGGTATTTGTCCCTCAACACCTGGCTTGTTTCCCTTGGCACGATGCTCTCCAGTTCCATCCATGCTGTCGCAAAGGGTATAAGCTCCTTGAAATAACATTGATGCTCTTAACCTTTTTGAAATTATGATAGATATTAGAATCACTTTTGGCCCTTATTTACTGATTTACTGCATTAGTGAAGAAGCAAGATGTGCATTTATTTATTACTTAATACTTAAGAACTGTATTTCAATGTATTTTTTTTTGCAATTTTGTATAGTCTTTGCAAAGATTTTTGGCAACTGACATAAAATCTATGTTACCATATTACCTTGCAAAAAAAAAAAAGAAGAAGAAGTAACTTAACGGCCCTTTACTTGTGCTTGAAGCCCTAGCCTATTAACCTGCATGGAACTTGGTTTTCTCTGCCAATTGTCCTGACTCTGCTCTCCTGAATCTGCCCTGGCCTTGCAACACAGACTTTGCTGTGTACTAATAGATACCCCATTCCTCTGGTGGCAACCCTTACTTGCCTTCAGCTCTTCATTCCTAATTTCTCTGCATCCATATCCTATCCAGCTATAGAGCCCCCTTTCACCCATTACCTGATACTTACTGCTTTCTGGAACTACCACCTGTTTGTGTGCTTGCTGCTCTCTGGCTATCAGGCACTGCCTAGAGGGCTGGAGTTCCTCCCACAAACACCTGGAGCTGAGACTTCCCCACCCCAGCTGCCACTCAGTCCCTGGTAAATCTCCATCTTGTGCAGTTCACCACCCTCACCACCCTGCCTTTCTCTGTCCTGAGAGCAGAAGATTTATGAGTTATTACATATTACTTACTTTTTAACCAAATAAAAAATCAAAGTGTAATAGGGATGTACTTATGTATATGTTTTTATTCATATACATGATAGCTATACATATATATATGTAAGCAATGCAAATGTGATTCTACTTTCTACTTCAAGACACAAATTCAATTCATGAATTCCTTTGGGACTAATAGTCCAGAAGTAGTTTGAAATGTTGAGCTTCTAGGTTTTTGACATAATCTTAGTAATTCTTGAATAGCCACATTATGAATGTTAACCACAAAAGCAGAGACAGTACAGTTTAACTCTGTATAAACACATAAAACAAAAAAAAAGTGAATAACTTATGATTTAGTCAGATAAAGTTTAGAAGAAA